AGTGGTTCCGAACGAATGACGAGTGTTGCTTTAATATTTGGCCGGTACTTCGAAATAGCATTTTTGTCACATAAGCTTTAAGGTACATAAGGTATCTACCAATAGAAAACAAAATCATAAGCGTTTCAAATAGCTATTTGTGTATTAAGTGGCTATATACTTTCCGAGAGCGGCAATGACTGTTTGTGTTCGTAATACACAAAAGATATTTCCTACTACCATAATTGACTTATATAATAATACACAGATTTATTTTTTTGATATATATAAATATAGTTTAGGTTATGTTTTTTACTGTTTGTTAACTTCTGTTCCAGATCCGTGGCTGTGATTGGAAAAAGTGGATTTCTAGTGTAGTCAATTTAAAATAATATACAAGTAGTTGTTTATGACCAGTTTGCTTATACAAAAAATAATTGATGTGTAATATTTTATCACTAAAGGTTGTGTACATGATTTCATTTTGTTCAAGATTAAGAACAATAAAATTCATTCGTTCATTTATTCATTCATTGACATTCGCCTATTGGGTCTGACGATGATTGGAGTGTCCAATCGAAATCGATCACCACTTACCATCGTGCATGTGTATTTACCGTCTTGTCATTAAACAGTATAAGTGTAAATATATTATTACTAGTGTTATTAGACGTATAATTTGTTTCTTTTTTCAGGTAATTAACACGTACGATACTGATCATGAAGTTATTTAATAAAATTCACGACAACAAATATTTCAAAATAGGATGATAGTTTTACAGCACTATAAATTCAATGATTCACTAATTCAATGAAAAAAAAAGTAATATAGATAAATAAGACACATTCCTTAAGATTTCCTAAACTTCTCACGAACTTCTCATATAACGTAGAATTTTCAACCGTTCTATAAGCAGACATGAGATCATGAGATGAAAAATACCTCGACAATCAGGTCAAGTATCTCATCAGTTGTAAAGGTTGATCTCATCACAGTCTTTTGTGGATCGGTAGAGTTATTGCCTTTCTAAGCTATCCGAGCATGTACAAGTCATTTGATCGTTACAAGCTTAAATAGATTCTGGATTTAATTACAGATATTTTTAGGTGGTTCAATTATGATTTTGGTCCTTGGACGCTAAGCACGAGCCCGGGATTGTTTTTCAAACTACTTCAGGCTAGACCTAGGGGTTGCGGCATTATCACTTAATCCATTGGTGACTTGGTGGTATTTGAACCCGGGACCTCAGGGACCGGTCCCTCCCTTTAACCACCTAGACCAGCTCGATTCCCAGGTTAAATTATGTAAACGTTTGAATTTACAAAAAGTGTATACATAACTACGTAACTAGATCATAACTATTATAGAAACTTTTTGTATGAAAAAATTCCTTCAAAGTTTATGCGTACCAGCAAATGTCTTTTCTCAAATTAATAAACAATGATGTTATGAACCTTTGAAGATTCCAAAACTTACGGCCCTAACACACAACTAAACCAATATAAAATCCAGCAAAGGTTTAAGTTTATTGTTGTATTTATGTGATTCAATAAATAATTATAGCTACAACTGAAAACGGTGACATTGTACGACAGGGATTTCAGTTTTGACTGCACTGAATATGGTTACCTATTTTAAACAATTTCTTCTCCTAAACCGTCACAAATGTGGATATTTAAATATCATTTTTGTAGGAACAGTAGAAATCATGAGGTAGCCATTATCTTTGGTATCAGGTCAAGTGTCGCATTACCTCTAAATGTCGACGTCATGACGGTAACAACCGTCATAAATGTGGACATTTAAATATCATTTTTGTAGGAACAGTAGAAATCATGAGGTAGCCATTATCTTCGGTATCGGGTCAAGTGTCTCATTACCTCTAAATGTCGACGTCATGACGGTAACAGCTGTCATTTGTGGATAGATACCTAGACACTACGTTGCCTGAATTCAGTTTCAACCCCACTACTAGACTGCAATATACTAACGTCTAACTAATATCTTAAAATGTATATAGAAAAACTCTTGTAACAAGAAGAACGCAGTGTTTTTAGTTTTTTTACTTGCAGGTTTTAAACTAACAGAAGGATTATTTACATGGTTGGGGAGTTTAAGATGTGTTATAGTCGTAACATATCATGCTATTTTCTAGCAAATTTACCTGTTTTATAGCGTTGCACTGATCAGTGTAAAACAGTGATCTCATGTGACTATCCCTATTGTATCTCGTGACAAAAATAGTGGATAGCCTACCTAACCTAGTGTGATTTAAACCGTATACTCGTAGAATGCAATTTGACAACTTGAATATAATGTTCGAAAATAATAGTTTAGTTTACGATAACTGGCGTATAAAAATGATACAACACCTGTCTCTAACATTAGGTTAATCCATTACTAGATAAAATTGGTTATTTTCCGTTAATTCACTGACACTACTTTTGTATTGCAATTCCGACATTTTTAACAGTAAGCCTAGTATGTGAATATAAATTATAAAATGAAACTATTCTAAAATACCCTAACGAACCAAACTTGCTAATTATGAAAATAATTCTGGTAGTGAATAAACGTAATTGCAATAAAAATAGTAGTGGTAGTGATATTAACGCGAAAAGGACCAACAAATGTGGCATCCTCTGTAAAATAGCTCAACGAATAACCCCAATTTAATACACTGATCCACAGCTGATTTATACATAAATCACAGTGAATAAACAACCAGTTAATTAAAACTAACGAAATCTGTTTTTACATCTATGCTAATTAATATGTCGACTGAAACGATTTGCAAACGCACCAATAGAATCCTCTCTTATCGTTTGGCCCAGCCGGCGCAGGGACGGACCCCAATAATTACAGTAATGAATGCCTAACCACACGCGCATGCTAGATGGCAATATACGGGATATTAAACGAGATTAACCGATAATCCGGTAATCGCATTATCATAATCCGGTTGTCGATCCGGCAGCGATGTGTGCTGTCATCCGGTGTGTTGGATATGTCGTTGCATACATACATTTTACTTAGTGTACAGTTTATAGAGGTGAGTAAGTAATGCGGTACGGGTGTTATTTATTTATTTTTATCCATACGTTATGGAAAGTCGTTCTAGTTTAGTAGAAAGAAATGAAGCTAAAAATAAAAAATATATAACATTTGAGTGAATGGTTGAAAATTTCTTAATCCCCATTAAGGGAAAATAGTTGTGTATTGAAACAATTTGCTATTATAAATCCAACTTATTCCTTTCGTTGAAGCAATTGACTATTCGTAAGTCATCCTTTTAGCCTATAGATAGTGGGTAGGCTACAGAAGTTTTTAAACATTTGGTACGTACTGTATGTCTACAAGATATAGTAACGTAATTGATGAAGTTTACTAAAAATAATTTATGGCCACATAAAGCAACGTAATAACTATCCTTAAGGTAACTTTTTGGCTACCATAGTTACAACACATTTGTGCCATAGTTACACCATCAAACAAAATTCTTTATATTCTTCGGTAAAAAATGAAAATATAATATTGTTTAATATGGCCATTTTCAACCACGGTAACTATTAATTACATTTTGACATTTGTTGATATTGAGATGCACAAACTACTGATTCCGGGTAATCAGAATATTGGGACAATAGACAAAATTTTACTCATTTGGGACGGAAATCTGAAATCCTCGACGCTGCTGAACATAGTAGCACCATGTTGTTTTACAATTAAAGAATTCTACATTCATGACGCATACAATTTGTATGCCCACATTCGTAGTTAAAAAGCCAATACGTACATCGTTGTCGATTAAACATTTAACATCACAATAAAAACAATTGTTTGAATATTGAGTGATCAAAGGCATATAAATGAAATTAACAATGTCAAATCCAAGGTATTTCTGAAATGTGGTATTTATAACGAGGAATCGTAAACACGTTTTTTTTAAAGATCAGAATAAAACGGCGATTGTCATGGTAAACTAAATAATTACGATGTAAAAATCTTTTTCTTTCGAAAACAACTGTCAAACAACGAAAAGGTGAACAACTTAAAAATGTCTCAAAGTTCTCTCACAACACAAACATCCAACGTTGAAACGCTGAATCCGGCAAAGATAATTAAAACACTGCGAGTAGTTGAAGTTGTACAATATTCATTTCAAAATGGAAATGTCAATATTATTTCTCACGAGAAGAGAAAGCAATATCGTCAACGTGAGAAACGGTAAGGCGAGGTGATAATAAAGCAGAGATGTAAATTCGAGGGGAAGTTATAAAAGAGGGGAGGGAGGTTGATAGGGGAGGTTCCCCCACCGAGCAGAATCGTGGTGAAGTATCGATAGGTAGAACATCGATGTTCGTTATCGAACATTACAATCGATGAATCGATCGCATCTGCTTTAAATATTGATTCCGAAGAGAAATAAGTTCACTAAAACTTCGCCAAAAGATTTCAGGGAAAATGAAACAAAAACTAAAAAATGTTAATGACATTGTCTCGAGAAAATAATTTGAACTATATTGTCATAATAGAAAATTCGATGGATGAGTTTATAACTTGGACAGAAAGATTCTTTTTTTTATCCAACATAATTAAAAGCAAAAGCATAATTCATAAGTTTATGAAAGTCTAATGGATCGATTAGTATACTTGTGTTCGACCAATTTACAAAGCCTACTATAGTTCTAAGTTTATTCTAGCTATATTCAATTTATGATGTGTCATGCCCATGCCCCAACCCTATTGATGAATTCAACTTAAATGACTATGTTGACATTTTATGCACTTGAGGACGAACCCTTAGAGTAAGAAACTGCTGATGTAGACAAATTAACAAAACTAAAATTGTGTTCACACCTGCAAAGGACGATCAGTAAGTTGAACATAAATTACCGACAACCGATATTCAAGATACCGATAGTCGCACGGTAACAATCGATCTATCGAACAGAGCGCTCTGACGGGAACCGCGGATACTAAGTCACATATCGGACACCGGCGCAACAAGAGACAGACAGTCTGTGAAAAACAGCGGTGGAGGAAGGTTCGGTAGAAGACGTCAGTGTTAGTGTACGTAGTACGTAGTACGTAACAATGCGATCTTACGTCGACGAAGTGTTCAACTGTTTACGATGAAGATATCCACAAGTGCTTATTCAACGTAATGGATTAATCGGAGATAATCAACGTTTACCTGTTGAATCGCTGTAATCATCTGTGCTATCGGTTAGTGTTGTTAGAGGTGGTTTAGTAGTGTGAAGTTTTAGATTATGTGGTGTAAATGGCAATTCATGGTGGATGGTTAAGGCATTGAAATTACCTAAATGTAATCATACTGGCAAATATGTTTACGTTGCTAATAAATACTAAGGTAATTCAGTACTGCGTAGGTTACTCTAAAACTTGAACGTAATTTAAATTATGTGTGTCAACATTTAAATAGATTAAATAAATAATTATACAAATCGAAAAGTTCATATATGAACAAATCGTTATCATTTGACGTACAATCAAACTACTGGTAAATTACAATAAACAATGATAACTGCAATTGCATCAACTTACAGTTGCAAACTACGATATACTACTACTTACACAAACAATCAAAACTTACAATTTACCACTACAAAGGTCGTACTCGCGGTGCGGTGACCTATTGTTTGTTATTGTTTGACTTTTGATCAAGCAAACAAGAGACACCGTTGGTGATAAAACGGTCCGTGACCTCAATCTCTTAAATACTGTGAATTCATTTGTTTTAACGTATCTCAGTTTAATATTTGTGTAAATAGTGTATTTAATATAGCAAGAGGAAGGTGGATTAAAATTAATAGAAATGATTAAATATTGTTTAAAATTTGTGTGAATAACAATATTCAATTATACCTACAATTAATTATACAATTAGTGTAAGAATGAATGTTTATTTAAAGTATAAAAACACATAACAAATGTAATTTTAAATGAACGTACAGTAGAATTTTTACTGAGCTCGTTTGTATAAGAATTTTTTAAGTAAATTTTAACATGTTTAAACATTTACGTAGTGTGTTAGTCCTAAACGTATTGTCAAAACGATTTTCTCAAAATTAAATACTTAAAATTAACACAAAAGATTGCGTTCATAATGCATTTTACATATTTCTCGGTTTACAGCGTGCACACTGCAGAACGCAGAACGCAGTTTTATCAGCGCTATCACACCAACTGTTGCTTCATTGCACGACGCGCTCTGATAACAACACATCAACAAGCACTGCTTACCTCATATACTAAAATAACCTCCTTCTCACTCGAGATAACAGAATTGAAGACTACCTTTCATCCCTCCTTGTCTAATATGGGTCGAAATAGAAACATATCAGAGTAAAAAGTTATGACACTTTCCCTAACGTCTTGTTAGGGAAAAAACAAAAAATCCTTTTAAATTCGTCAGTTATGAGTATACTGTATAATTTTAAAACAAATTAGTATATCACACGAGAGCGATTTGTATAAATGTTTAATGTTTCGGCACGAGACTGGCCAAGCATGAGGTAAACTTAGACCAGAATTCCATTAGCATGTTTGTTGATACACAAGTAACCAAAAGGTTGACCTATAAAACACTACGTTCTTTATTGGAAATCATAATTAAAGTTTCAAACGGATTTCCAAAGCATCACGGCCTCAAATAAATGTTAAGGAAACTAGTCGATTTATCATGTATAAATGTTTTTACGTAAGGCATACACAGTTGAATACACTGAACAACCTATATTTTGCGAAACTAGTATTGAAAATCAGGCTGATGCTTTGCGTATACCATTGTCAAATCATTCCTATTCATAGGGACGGATTCAATTAACCAGATACAAGACTAATTGTTTTGAAAATTGATTCCCGTAAAAGCACAGAATAAAAAGAAAATACTAAACACATGAAAAAAATTAATGAGAATTTATTTTTAAGATTATTTTTATATCCAAATTGTATTTTTGAGCATAATCAGTTAAAGTTTTATATTTTTACCAAAACCATATAGTATTTTCATAATGTAGTTGTTTTTCTAAACCACGTTAGCTAATCAATAAAAGGTTACATTACCTGCAGACTGCCTTGTGGGTTTTGTTAATCCAGTAGGATTACGTACGTTTCGGCAAATATATTGCCATCATCAGATCCAGAACTTGAAGGTTAAAATCTTGATTTTTCGACACACATGGTCACGTCAAAGTTTAAAATAGAACACATACACAAAACGAACATTAAGGCCTACATGTATTTAATGTTCGTTTTGTGTATGTGTTCTATTTTAAACTTTGACGTGACCATGTGTGTCGAAAAATCAAGATTTTAACCTTCAAGTTCTAGATCTGATGATGGCAATATATTTGCCGAAACGTACGTAATCCTACTGGATTAACAAAACCCACAAGGCAGTCCTCAGGTAATGTAACCTTTTATTGACCATATAGTATCACGAAACGCCGTTTTACTACTACTTTTGACTTTTATTTGGTAAACTACGTCTAAAAATGTCAAAGCAAACAATTTAAACATTAAAAGCAATGAACTGAGTTTAAAAAATATTTTATACTGCATACACAAAATTATAGGCGCACAACATATCTGAGGGTAAGCCCTCCCATCCAGCCTTATCCACCCATGTTTATAATATTATATTATAATATAATATAATATTATAATATAATATAATATTATAATATAATATAATATTATAATATAATATAATATTATAATATAATATAATATTATAATATAATATAATATAATATTATAATATTTTCATGTTATTCACAATTTATTAGCTAATAAACAACACACAACACAATCAAGCATCGAAATACAACGTTCCCGTGATAAATATTGCTAATTACCAATCCACCGACCCCACATGAGCGGCAGTTCAGTTTTGTTTCCCGCCAGTCAATTTAATTACAACTCCGCTCCGGTAATTAAACATCCGGTTCGGTTTCTCGGATCTCCCACAGCATCCGGCGGCAGATACACGCGTGTAGGGGAGGGGAGTGTAGAGGGGAGGAAATATGATCCCGACAAAACGCACGGAAAATTCAATTTAAACGCAAACGGAACGGCGGTTTTTCACAGAAGCGGCGTTTACACAGAAGCGGCGTTTACACATGTGATTCGATTGCGGAAAAATATTTTTACAAAATAAACCGAAATAATTCTCGAAATTGTTTGTAGACAACACTTATTCGAGTGGAAAGGGAAATTTTTGTTGATATAATGTTTGTACACCGGACCAAAGCGTGTTATATCCTACATATAAACAAATATTGCTTAAACGATTAATACACAAATATAAAAAATACAAATTTTCTCTACAAATATTGGACAAAGTAATAAACTTGATAAGTAGGCGGGGCACTGAATTATTTTTAGGAACAGCATTGGTTTAGTAGCTGTAGTGTACAAAATCCTTAATTCCTAAAACAGAACTACTAGAGCTTTAAAACACATCCCTACCATGCGACAACACAAACTCTTAATGCCAAAGGTGCCTACTTATTTATTCCTCAAACACAGTCTTTTATATTTAAACAATTTTCAAAATTAAAAACAAAAAAATCCTTTGTTAATGGTATGGCTGCAGCTAAAACTGCAGCCACAATGAAGAATATATGATTATTTGATAGACAATATAGTTTTCCTACAGTTACCTAACAATGTACATGTTCTCTCACTGATTTGAGAAAGCAAAGTGACCAATTCGCTCATCAGTGAGACAATGTTAACATTGTCTCACTCTAATTACTTTGTCTCACTCCAGATTTGCAACGTGAAGGCACGAAATAGTGAGCACGTAACATGCAGGCAACGTCGTATGCGCGCGAAATACGTTGGCAGCACTGGCTGTAAATCAGCTGGTCAGCTGTTGTACTGTTGTATTTGTCATTTCACATTAAATGTTATATTAAAAGTTCACTGTGCAAAAATAGTTTATGTTTCTTCATAAATTATGGTAACAAATTATGGTTTTATGGTAACTGTAGGAAAAGTATAATGTGCAACTCGAGTTCAAAGTACAATTGGCTCACTCGAGAAACCATTCCTCACTCGCCTACGGCTCGTGAGTAAGGATTTCTCTCGAGTGAGTCAATTGCTCACTTTTCTCACTAGTTGCACAAATAACTATTTCATTTATACAAAATATGATCGAAAACGGATGGCTTATTTACTACAAAATTAATTATGAATGAAAATAAAAGGTGTTAAATATAATGGTTGCAGACGATCCAATGAGTTATATAACAGTATTCTTGTTTGTCGTAAATCTATGTACGCAAACCATTATATTACAAATAAATAAAACAGTACTACATTGATTTTAGTTCATTATACAGTTATGTAGTTAATGCCTTACACAATACAATAAATATTCAAATATTTAGTACATAACTAGAATAGTTTAACCACAACCGAAAGTTTTATCGGTTGTAGCTGTTCCAAGTAACACGTACAAAAAAGACGATGAATCCAACATCTACTTTATCTAGTCCCAACAACAACTGTTTATAATCACACATTCACCTATCTCAATCGTGCCTTGTAGATCTAGCGATTGAATATTCAAAAGTCAGACACTCACAGAAACCCTTGACCCTCGCTTTGTTACACAAAAACCCTTCCACACTTCAGACCCCTTGTTGCTCAATTACTAGTGAAGGTCTGAAACGCAAAAACAGTCCAGACTTTTGTTATCACTTACATTAACCTCGGCTAGACGATCACGCTTTTATCTGAGTTATGGCGGGTCTGATCGCTTAGTTCAACACCACGCTCTCACATTATCGCTTGAAATATTGTTTGGGCGTCTAGTGTAGAAATGAGAAAGTAAGGCTGCATAGCACAATACTTTAGGGGGTAAACTATGCTAGTCCCGTGAAAGTGTAAGGCTGCATGGTAAACAGCTTTTAGAACGTTCCATCACTGTAGAATAACTACAAGAAAATGAGATGCGGCATGGTACATAATCAATAAAAGAACATAATTTGAAACCTCTTCATTGCAAGAACAATTTTTTACAAAAGTGATGATTGCGTTTTGTGAATAGATGAGTTATGAACAATGTATTATGGTAGTAGCTTAAAACTCCACAAGACAAATTACAAGAGTCTGTGCAATGACGGTAAAAATAGGACTTTTAAAGTTATTTCACATAAAATTGATAACTTATATACAAAAATGATGTTACTACTTAGTTATATCAGATTTTGTTGTTGTTGTTGTGTGCATTGAAAGTAACAGCCTTCTAAATTACTTACAACAACAATATCGACCTACTCGTTTAAAAGTCGTGATTGGTTTCGAATAGTCACTAAAATTATCAAATTACCAAATTACCTAATTTATCGTCGTTTTGACATTAAAAACTATTAAGAAAGCAAAGAATGTATTGAATTTTCACATAATCACACCTAAACTTCTCATAATGTCTAAAAATATGTCTAACGAACAATGTTTAGTAGCTTAACCTACTAATTTGACAAACATAAACTCTGTTAGATATACGATATAGTTTTAGATTTATATTGTGTTATAACATATTATACCTGTGATAGAAGCAGTATTTAACTTAGTGCTTTTTGACACAATTTTTAAGTCTATGCTTGTTGGGTATTGATACACTTTATAGATCCATAATTTGTGTAAATTCGCTAAACAGATTAGTTGAATAATTTATCCTGAAATATTTTTTAAAGAGTGGATTATTTAAACGCGTAAAAACAAATCATGTGTGAACCGTGCAACTTTACTGTAAGGGTTAGTAAGGATTTAGATAGTGTTTATAGGTCCACTGTTTTTGAAAAATAATATACTATCAAGCAAAGAAAATACTCCAAGCTCTACCACTTACAAAATAAGGATCACCGGGAATTGCAACAAGAATTCAATTTCAGATGTTTCGCGTAAAATTTAATTTTCACACGTTTAACTTTTTAATTAACTCTAAAATAAATAGAATTACCGTGAATATTCCTCAGTAAATATCCAAGCAAAAAACAAAAACAAGTTGGTAGGTGAAAATTCATAAACTCAACATAGACTTCTTTATCCTTATACTTATAATTAACAAATAAGTTTCCTCTCAATAAGTTAACTATAAATATTATCTAAATATTTTTATGTTTACGTTCTAAGTATCTAAATGCACATTCAACTACATATAACTCCAAAAAAAGGTGTACAAATTTGTTTCCATATATAATCCATCCATACTGGATACTAAATAACATGTACCACGTAAGTAGGTCCATCACCAGTTAACTATGTATGATATACGCAGTCGAAAATTGTATAAAGGAATGTGCTCTGTTGAAGAAGTTTTTAAAATTGAAAAAAAAACTTAAGGAATAGCAAGTCGTCAAACCTATTATGGCTTTAATACTCAGATTTATTTTTACTTAAGTATAATTTTTTTACGCGTAATCATTTTGCAGTCACTGTAGTTAACTTTCAGCAATGTATTAATAACTATGCCTATAATTTATTTAACTCAAAATTACACATAAAGCGTGATAAAAAAAAACTGAATCACATTTAAGAAAATACAATTTATATTTGTTCCATTTTTAGAGTCTTCCATTTACGTTCTAAATTATAATTATTTCTCACTGTAATGGTGTCGCCAAACAATTACTTTTGACATAACGAATTTCACAAGAATTCTGGATCTGCTTGAATTCAAGGCGTGAAGATAAATAAATTCCTCCATATATTTTCATCGGTAACGATCTTGGTTTGGTTACAGAGGATGAGGAGCCACATAGCCAGATGAGATGGTGGCTCGCTCACTATGGCTGTGGCTATGTATCGGCTGGCTCACAGAGGCCGTTCTTAACCCAAGCTCGACCACCATCTGTGATCTGGGACCGTGTCGATGTGTGAGAGGGAAACTGCTGTGCGACTGCTCCACGTCCAAAATAAAGGTGACTGGATGTTATATCTATTTACGATAATGTTTGCTGAAGGAATGTTTTTTTTAAGGAGTGAAAATATCTGTGATCTCTATCTGAAAATCTTTGGTTATATCTTTGGTATAATGCATTATAGTTCGTGTTATTCATCTCTGTGTTAGTGGACAATACTACTGTATTGACGTATGTTTATAATATTCTATTTTATGAGCGTAGGCTGGGTAACTTCCCCTTAGTCACTAACAAGACTACAAGATCGCGCCACTCATACTTCACTCATATTTGGGTTAAAACATGCATAAAGTGGTGTCCCCATCTTAAATAACTGATAATTGACAAATATACTAATAATGTGATTACTTATAAATAATGTAAAAATAATTATATGTTCTTTATGAGATTTATCAGAGGTTGTGGAGCGTTAAAATATAAGAAAAAACACAAAGTTTAAACTAGCATACTTTAAGAAGAAAAGAGAAGAAGGAAGGGATGTTGCTTGGATTGTGAATTGTCATCAGATACTTTGGTGAGTTAACTTGACAACAACCAAGGCCTATTGAGGGATACCTTCGCCCTATCGGAACTCGCCAAAGTAGTCTAAAGTAGTCTTCTCTTTTTCATAAGAACCGTACTGGACTAGTAGATTTTAAAAAATATATAAAAATTCACACAATACATATTTTTTTTGTTTAGTATGAAACTGTTTCTCATATCTTAATTCATGAACGAATAAGTGTTACAGACTTTTTTTGCAGGAAATCTATCTGAAAGACCTGGACGAGGAAAGCTTCAGCAGTATCAGTGTAACCAACTGCACACACGTCCATCTAGCCTCAAGAACTCTCTCCAGGTTGCCAGCACTGCAGCAAGTCACGATTGCAGACATTGACCACCTGACTCTGGAGGAGCACGCGTTCAGCTGGGTCACCGACAACCCTTCTCACACAGGACTGATGGTCAACCTGACCAACTGTTTCATCCCAGAAGTCCCCAGCTACAGCTTCAAAGGATCAATCAGAGACATCGTCCTCTCCTCAGTCAACATCAGCCGAGTCAGCGCCTACGCCTTCGCCGCCATAGAACACGCGGAGAAGATCGAGTTTGAGCGGGTCTCCGTTGCAGACTTCGAATCCCAATCTTTCAAAAAGTTCAGCGTGAACTTCTTCACGTGGAGTGACTCTGTTTTCAACGTGTTACCGACAAGACTGATGATCGATGTTGAAGTGAATCAAGAGGTGAAATTTGACAACGTCGTGATCGATACCGCAAAGTATTTGAGTCTGAAGATTCACGGGCCGAGGAATTTCCGATTGTTGAAGTCACTAGTGAGACACGTAGAACATCAAGCTTTGCACATCCACACGAGAGGACCGGTGACGATAATGGACAACGTGTTCACCCACGTCGAGAAGGGAGGATTCGTCGGCTTCACCGTGGAAAGGAGGTTCCTACAGGAAGCAGGGAAGCAAGACTTTATCTTCGAGAACAACACATTGGTAGACTTCGAGAGCGCTCCTCTGATCTTCAACACCACCGGGTTCACTCCACGACTTGACTGGATCGTGGTAGACCAACAATGTTCTTGCCAGAACGCCGACTACTGGACGTCAGACCTCGTCTACTTTTCTTCAGACCCGCGGGTCTCAACAGCTGTTCCTCAGGTGGAAAACGTCATTTACTGCCACAACCTCGAGAGAGCCACAAACGTGAAAGACTTTCGAAGACTGTTCTGCAACATCAAAGACTCCAATATTTTACTCACTCTAGCTTTTATCTCTGGTAGTGTAATTTCGCTCTCGGTTATCTTGATGCTCGCTTATTTGGGCTTCAAAGAGAAGGCGAAACGATATATGAACGTGCCAAACTCTCCGTCTCCCGTCAAACAGTCCAACAAGAACCACATGTTGGTGATACCGGACGGCAAAACGTATCGGGAGACTGAGCTACATGTGATCGTAGAACACGTGGAACCCATCGTCCCCACAGAGTATGTTAGAGCTCCACCAGAGGCATAGAGCAGCTAATCAGTATTTTAGATTGTGATCTCTTGTAAATAGCATTCTCACTGTACATTTGTATAAACCCACTATTCCTACCGACCATATTCTAGTGTACAATTGTGATATTAATTTAAATAAGAAACCGCCAAATATTACTGATCCTAACGAAGAGACATTCCTTTTATTTCCATGAATGTAAAAAGTGTATGATTTGTTGTAGTGTGTTATATAAAAGTTGCGTTTAAAAGTGTACAGTAAGTGTGTATTCCCTAGAATCTTTTAATAAAATAAGTTTATACATATTACAGAAAATGAGTGTAATCTAATGGTTTTAAAAACGTTAGCGGATATTTGTTAAAAGTTGAATACTATAAACAAAGCGCTAATAAAAGTTTCCTGTATGCGTTGCTTAACAATCAATGCTAAGGAAAAAATGGGAAAATCAATAAATCTAACTCCACTGCAGTGTTAAAAGATTACAATGTTGCAATCGACTCTTGATAAAATTTAATTAACGATTTCCTAGAATCATGTTTGTCCCAAATCAATCAAGTCTTTGTTTTGCCTTGGACATTTCTGAGAACCGAAGCCGAGTCGTTATCACTTTCTTCATTAAACGCTCAATCAACAATTAATTAAATCCAAAAATACTTACATCTCGCATAAAACCAACCCAAACTTGATTAATGCACAACGTGAGTCTGCAAACAAAGCTATAAATATCCTTGTAATCATTAATTTTGCACAGTACCTCCCGTCCCTGACATTGGAAAGTAACTGCTTTAATTCAGCGGCGCACTTTCTCATTTTCCTCCGAATAATTTGGCCCCTCTTGATATTATCTCTTAAATGCTATTTCTGGAAGTAATTTATCTGGATAAACGAGAAGTTTACTCTGGTTTCTAAGCGCCGCGTTTCTAAACTGAGCCAGACTGTTTCATTAAATAACTCGACGGAACCATTACGGGACCAAACCTTTATTTTATTGGATTGTGAAATTTAAAAGCCTACTTCAACAGAGCACAACGATAATTTTATTTTAATATTATACACATATTTTTCCATATTGAACCTTTTCTTATGATTATACTAATCTTTTTAGGACAGAAGTAATCATAATAATGTGAACAAGGCGAGGTTGTTATGTCCAGTCTACCCAAACTTCACTCAAACTAACAATCTTTCTATTTCGACTAACCACCTTTTGTTTTTTGATTTCGACCTCAGGTTACAGGGAAACAATATAAAATTACAGGATAAACCTAGCAATAGCTTGATAATACACATATAAAACCAAACTGAAACAGCTAAGTTGTGAGAAATGCACTTTATCAAACGGTCTAGACGGATAAAAACCATTAAGAAAAGATATTTAAACTATAATTCTATGAAAACACGTTTTACAACAAACAATACTAACTTTGTTTGTAACTCGTAGACTTTGATTAGATGTTTAAGAATTATCAGGTGCCTATTACTGGGTTAAAGTTTTTTAAATTACATTAGTAAATACAGTATTAAATTAAATATTAGGTAGGCAATGCTCAATTAAAATTTACTGTAGCAGAAGACATTTTTTGTTGAGTGAAGACGGCAAAGGTTCAAACTATCTATTGTCTATACATAAGGGAAGCTATATGTAGTAATATACAATTAGTTTTATCTTTAAACAATGGTATATCTCACTTGAAGTATACTTTTAGCCTATTCTGTTACACATTTTTCACCTGGTACCCTATATGATTATCCGATAAGAAGACAAATAGTAGTGATAGCTTTTAAATCTCAAGGGTTCTGGGTAGATTCCAATTGAGGTCAACTTGGACCCAGACGCCATTTGTCATTGGGTTATCCAATAATGATGCCATCTGATAAAAGGTCAACGTTAGATAATATAATACTAGGTTTTGGATTGTCCCCTACAAAAAAAATCGTGACTATCAATAGCGTAATAACCAACAAAACAAATACATAAATTGGTATGGATATTTCATGATCCAAACATATTTAAGTTTTTACAGGCTGAGCGGCCTACCAACCTAATTATTCTGATTAACCAAATTTCCCCGGCTTACGTCAGAGGCGAGTTTGATGATGTCAAATCCCAGGTAGAACGATATCCCAAGTTGGAGGGTCTACGCCTCTGATATGTAAATCTGACAATCAGCGAACGCACTTTTGACTCATCAATAATACATCAACTGTCAGAACAGAATCCCCACCGTTGAGATTACCTGAAGCGATGATACGTGGTATTATGGTTCGATATTTATAGTAAAATGATATACGACACAAACAGAAACTCTAGGGTTTGGAAATCAAAATCAATATTCTCTGTATACAGTAGGAGGTAAATTGTTTTCAGTATGGTTATTTAGAGTTTCATTAGAAATAAAATGACGCTTTTGTAGAGTATTAAATATAAAATTACTAATAGTAATATGAGAATAACATATTCATTTTAATTGAAATAATAGTCTATTACAAGTGACTGTTACACTACTCGTAGAACAAGATCAGGGCTAAACGACAGTTTTGTGATAGGTTTTCATTACGGCAGCCACAAAGAAGGTAAGTTAAATCTTAAAAAGTTTACGACACTTCAATTAAACGTACAAAAACCATTTTTATGACCAGTTTTAAAGTTGACATTCTCAATGACATTGCTTAATTTAGCCAAACATACAAACTTCGCGCCGTATTGATATAATACTCAGATGAATTTAATCCTTCAAAAGATTTTCTTTGGATTGACATTTAAATTAGCAATCTAACTTTAGGTTTGACCAAATTCGGTAACAGAGCAGTTTTTACTTCATACCAAAGGTACAACAAATTCGTATATTAAGGAGTGCCTTACGGTGTTCTTAGTTAACGCACCGATGCGCTGATATCTGGGCTAGAAATCCAGGTTTGAAACCCACAATCCTTTTAGCGAATTTCCCATATAGGGAATAAGCCATTACCGTAGTACTCATGGTAAGACCTGGACCCGGGACCGATTTACTTTTTCGTTTTGAGGTCCCCAGAGACCAAAACACTATCCGTTCAAATTCATAAATATATATTTATATATGTGTCCGTTAGCGCGATAACTCAAGCAAAACTCATCCGAGTTTAATGAAATTTGGTACAAACGTGTAAACCTACGTTTATTCGAACGAGTTCGCGAACCAGCATGATCGGACTATGGGAACAGGCGTTTATGGGGGGGTTTTATGGGGTAAAAATTGGGTTTTCCTATTTTTAACCCAAAAAACTTAAAATTTAATATTTTCTTTCCAAACCATTTTGTAGAGCTTAAAAAAACAAATAATTTAGTATATTGAAGCGTTACTATGCGCCTAATGGTCACGGAGAAAATTAAAAAAAAAACTGTAAATTTAAAATTCCCATGTTATTCTTATGGAGAATAAGTAAACTGTTGTAATTTGCTTGTTTATGAACATATTTTTATCAAATTTGGAAAATGCATTTATTTCATTCTAAACTATTAACATTTTACAAAAAAAAAAACATTTTACCCTCCCTGTTGCAGCAAACCTAAGTACTCGTTAAATTAATGTTATTTAAATAGGGAATAAATGTGATATTTTTAAGGAGACATTTTTGTGTAAATCCAATCAAGCAAATGGAAATAGACCTTAAAATGGACCTTAGTTTGCAGGTTTGCTGCGGCGGGGGTAATATGATAAAAAAAGCCGTGAGCCGGCAGTTTGTGTCTCACTATAAACTAGGAGTTCCCCTTAGTAGAAAACAAAATAGGATAAGTACGAAATGCAAGGAGAACCCTCTCCAATTGGAAAACCTTCACTACAACTCAAATTAATAGTATGCCAAAGAATTAAAAACAACAACTAGAAAAAAAAAACATTCAAAAAACTAATCTTTACAAATACCTTTACCTTTTCCAATATAGATCCGACACAAAAATCCGAGAGGAAGAGGAGCGTCCCTTATCGAGTGACACGAGGAGTTTTGATTTTGTTGACACAAGGTGCCAGAGTAAACCTATAGGTTCGACGACCTTTGTCCCAAACCCCCGTGTTGTGGAATAGATCAACTTTGTATGCGGCTATGCCTCACAGTGCTTTGAAACACAATAAGCGTTATGTGATGCAAATACTGAAGATAAATCTAAAGGAAATACAAGTCACAACTAAAGTACAAGGTCTTTCAATGTCAAGGTTTGTAGCTACGTAGAATCAAAGAAAATAAAAATCTTGTAGAGGAAATATATAAAAAATAAACATAGCTGTTACCTGGAAATAAAATCTCAATCAGCTTAGGTGCTTATGTACAGTTCCACAGATTTAGTTAACAACAATGTTGAACATGTATCTGCTATGTGTGGTTGGTTATTTTTCAAGTGTGTGTCATGTTTGCTAAACTGGAGACAATTCTCATTGTCGTAGAGACATATTTTTTATCCTTTTTGTTTTCCATGTAGACAGACATTATCAGAATTATCACAAAGCAACACTGCATGCATTTATTCGGAGACTAAACCACGTTTTAAGGTTATTCAAGTCGACCACAAATTTGCAAGTGAAAGGGGAGTAATTCAATCAAAGGATTGGACTCAAAGTTATCGAGTTACTAGAATTTATCTTTTTCATAACGAAGGTTAATAATCTCCGTTGTTAGCGAGGTTAAGGAAAAACTGTTGAACGTTCGATGATCCATCAACACCCTTCAACTTCACGCTTATTTTCGCCTTCATTCCGACTCAATTTTCCTCCCCACTTCCCCCTGTCTTGGTGAACACCATTTAGTATTTCGTAATCTTTCACGCTTGGTAAATATACTTAAACTATACTTATATATTGCTTAATATATTAAGGAACAATCAAAAATACAGAAGAAAATTAAATAAATTGACTATAACATTATAATTGATGGAAGATACAATAGTACTACTAGCGTGCCGGAATGCATGGGCCTATATACACGTAACTCATTATAATGTACTATTCAACGTAGTGAATAAAATATTAACTGTATTCAAAAAATTAGCTTTGATTGAAAATATGTTAGTAATCAAAACATTATAATTGGTATATTTTTTTACTTATGTAAATCCTCCTACTAATGCCAGCCAGCAGCCATGGTGCGGATTTCAATCCTTTTATATCGAAAACATTCATCAGAAAAGAGAATATTTGCAAAAAATCATATCAGCTTACCCGCCTGTTTGTCTGATCGCCTTTTATATTTATTGAAATATAATGTTTAGAAAACGATATTATATT